ACTAACTCAAAATAATAATAATATGCTATCAATTAGTGCCTAATGGGATACGTACATGGTGAAATTATCAATGTACTTGGTCAGTTCAGCACCGCACGCCAACAATCGTTTAATTCAGATTATCGCGCAAAATAACTTTGCGCAGGTAGTCACGTGGGCGATAACAGTGCGCACGGGTATGGGTTACGTACGCTCGCAGGCATTCTCGCAAAGCTACCATATACAAAAAAAACTTGTTCGCTAACCCTTGTCCTTGACTCTTTTGTGCCTTTCGGCACTTTGAGACATGGATCGGGAAAAAATGTGCCAAAAATGGTATGTCTGACAATATACCGTTATTCCCTTACTAAAGAACAAAAACAATATACTTGAATTGTCGTTAGACAAGAAATGCGGCCGCTTTTCTTTTGTGGATGGCCGCTCAATTTGCCGATCCGTGATGGCGTATTTTATCATATTCCATACCACCTGGGGACCCCAGTCTTTACTGTTTATGAGCATGCAGATATGGCGGAGTTACAGGCCGAGCGCCGCCCAGTTAATATAATTCCATATTGAATTTAAAAATCGTGTATATATCTATGTAACCATATGTTTATTGTTTATGCAACCTGACACGGATCTGAGCAAAATAGTAATACTAACTCAAAATAATAATAATATGCTATCAATTAGTCCCTAGCGGGCATGGTGAAATTAACGATGTACTTGAACAGTTCAGCACCGCGCACCAACAATTGTTTAATTCAGATTATCGCGCAAATAACTTTGCGCAGGCAGAAACGTAGGCGATAACTGGGATCGAGGGCACGTACGCTCGCACGCACGCACGCTCGCACGATCGCAAGCTACCATATACAAAAAAAACCTCGTTCGCTAACCCTTGTCATTGACTCTTTTTTGCCTTCGGCACTTTGAGTCATGGATCGGGAAAAAATATTTGGTATATTGTCATATATATTATATATATAATACATTTTTTGAACATTTAAACTTTTAATTTACGATGTGCACTTTCCCCCAGTAACAATTTGTGTCAAAAAACTACCGCTTAAAATATCCTTGACGCCTCAAATTGTTCATCTCAATTCGGCCTGGTTAATTAATAAAACATTAAAATTCAAATCTTTCTTACTCCCCTGGCCCTGGATATCGTGTATTTAAAAGGCACAGTATGATGGGTTGCACTACCCGTTACTCACTTTGACTTACGGTCTGCTCATTCTCAGATGTTCTTACCATCAAAACCCCGTTATCGGATAGTTGAGTAAGATGCCAGGTCTTTTGGATCGGATCTCAGGGTCACACCTAATCCACGTACCTGTTATTGAACCCTTTGATCCGAACCAAAGGACCTAGCATATAACCTAATAACCTGACCCTGCGACCCTGACATCAGATCTTGGCGACCCTGTTCTTGCCAAATCAAATGAATATTTGGCTTTTTGTTCCACAATCAATAATTGATTAAGGTACAAAAATAAGAATACAATTCACTTTGAACGAGCTAGTTCCCTGATAATAATACTTTACCCCTCGGTTTGAACCAATCTTAGCGTTGCACTTACATTTGCGTGATTTAAGTGCACACACAAGTTAACTTTAGAGCTTAAGTACGTATAAATTACAAGTTCGAAGATATTCGAAGGCTATTCCAATTGATTGTCTGTGAACGATTCACGTAATGTAGTTCGACACGCACGGAAGTTCGACAACTAAAAGTCGCCAGAAATGACCCAAGTCGAGCTACAGTACGTGTACCTCTCTGAATAGCTGTGTTTACAATTACAATTACAATCATGGTCATTTAGTTGTACCTGGTACAGCTACGGAACCTGGAACGCCCGCGAACGTGACGTATTTTGTTTCGTAATCGTAGCGGCCTTTGTGGACACATTGCGCGTTTTAGGGAGTTTAATGGGTGCTAAAATGCAGCTTTGCAACTTTGCGTCAACATACAAATATCAAACGTACAAGGAATGCTCCGAAGGTTATAGATCAAAGGTTTTTTAGTTACGAGTTGTTATCTAAAATATTCTGTTAGTGAAGTTGCGAAATTAGTCCAGATTTCGAAATCGTCGAGAATTTGGTAGTTTGGTTGAAGCATGCATCTGAACACGGGAGCTGACGTATTTTGATAACTTTAGATTGTGGTTGTACTGAAAGGAGCAAGCTTGTAAAGTTTTGCACTGAAATTACACTGAACTAAACAGATTGTGTTCGTTTGCACACTGCAACATTAATGTGAAATTAAGTTATCTTTATGATTTGAAGCCGAACCGGCTTTGTTTCTACATTTTCTACATCTTTTACTTTTCAGAGTATTGTGTACACCTTAGCTTGTGATGATTTCCAGCGACTACTCCAACTTCACCATGTTCGGTATCAAAAATGATGCAGAAAGATATACCTGGGCCACGTGGCTCATTTTCATTCTCAGTTGTTCTGTTTTGGGGGACACTATCATACTTGTATCATCTATAAGATACAATGCTTTTAGAATCCACAGCTGGATAGTTGCATTCATCCAGCATATTGCGATCTGTGATCTGCTTATTTCGGTATTTACTATATTTCCAAGAATTGTGTCCTTGCTTGCAAATGGATGGATGTTCGGAGAATCATTCTGCTACTTCACTGCCAACCTGACAGTTTACGGAGTCCCAACAAGTTCGCTCCTCATTTGTGCCTTGACATCGAGCAAGCTGTGGTTGTTGAAACATCCTCTGAGGGCTAGAACCTTGCCCAAAAGTAAGGCTCACAAGCTTTGTGCTGGCATCTGGGTCTTAGCATTGATTGTGCCAGCCCTGTATGTCACAGTGGACAAGAGGGATGTGTACTGGGGTTATAACATATATTCCTGTTACTACGCACATTCCTCGACTAAATGGAAGATTTTAGAGCCTCTGAACCATGGTGTCTTTGGAGGATTGCCAACAATCATCGTTATCATAACTTCAATCCTCCTAGTACACCATCTTCTGAAAGTAAGGAAAGTTGCCACTCGAAGCAGAGGGCAGATCCGCTGGCAGGGCATAGCCACAGTCGTAGCAGTGGCTTGCATCTATACTTTTGCAGTTTTACCGCTTACAGCATACTGGATCGCTGAAACTTACTTGGAGAAATCGCCCGACAAGTTCAAAACATTTTCCTCGCGAACTGCAAAATCATTTTTTTACTTCAACGTAGCTTCCAACTTCTTCATCTATTTCTTCACAGTCCGAAGCTTCAGAATGTTTGTGCAAGTTCTCAGAGCGGAAGTTACCCTGCCTCTCTGGTCTCGTTACCCTAGCTGCCGCAGTAAGTTATTTTATATCTCTGTTACTGACCAGTTTTGATCCGACATAAAACCGTTAGCAAGTATTAATTAGTTAAGAGTAAAATAAGATGCAATTAATGTTAATTCTTAAGTTGTTAACCATAATTTTCTTACAGGGCGGCAAACCATTGAGGATCAAGGACCTACACCGACAGTAATTCATCACAAAACTGCACTTGAAAGCTTGAAGAAAGTTTCTGTATAACTAGATGGGAGTTCTATAAAGAAGAAGTACATAATATGAATTATATAAGGGGTTTTAACGAACAAATCAAAAACTTCAAAATTTTCGAGGAAAAGATTTTATCTTTTTGTGATTTTTATGTTCAATGTTTTTAATTTAAATATTTATGGTCCATGATGTATTTCCGAGTCTGAACATCTCGGTGGGACACAAATCGTTATTGTATTGAGCTGATGTGTATTTGGGGGTATCTGAGGGAGACTGAGAACTCTAAACATGAACTCTAAACGAGAACTCTAAAAGAGAACTCTAAACATGGCAGCACAGTTAAACTACTTGCACATCTGCTGGGGATCGTTCATATATTACGTAAGCTAGCCTCTAGGGGAGACGGTTTATAAAACTAGTTTAGTTTCAAGACAGTATTTGTGTTATATAGTGGAGGGAGTGGGTTAAAATACATTTAAAATTGGCTTAAGTGATGTCTGGTTCAGGTAGTGCAATTCGTTGCCGAATCACGATTAGCGCATTAGCGCATTTTTGACAATGTCATAGATTTCCGAGTTACTAGCTGGCCTAATGAAAATAGAGAGGGGGGCGGGTTCGTTTAAGAAGGCCTCGTCCCTAGAAGTATTTTCATTCCTTTTCACCTGCCGATGCTGCAGTCTCGCGAGGCCAGTGCTTTCAAACCCCCCCTTATTGAGAAGACCGTAGAGAATTTTCCTCCTTATTTGGAGGCCAGATACAGAATCGAGTTCATAGGATCTAAAGCTTTGGAAGATTATTGAAATTTAAAAATTGATCAATTCTTAAATGCTAAGATGTTGGTGATGAACTGGCTGTTAAACATTAGTGCTAAAAATCAAGGCGGCTAACATCGGTGTTTACTGTAACATTATAATGTTTTCTAATATTTGTCTTTTCATTTATTCATTCCTTAGATTTCGAATAAAATTTCCCCGGTTGAGATATGAAATGAAATAGTCAACAATTTCGTTCAGCAATATAATACAGAGTATGTCTTACTTCACCAGTCCACAACCCAGCTTATACATGCTTCCAGCCAAGAACACCTTTCTACAAATTGTGCAAACACTCGCCGTTCGGTCCCAGATTTAGGGCAGGTACCCATTAAGTCCATTACAGCTTGGTATGCACTTATCTAATGAAGTTGTACGGGTGTACGATACTTTAAACTTTACTTCATCGATGCAAAACTTGCTCAATGGCCACATTTGTAGGTAAGGAACCCGCAAGGTGCATTATTGACTGGACTAATGGATTATTGATCGTTCATTAAACTCAGAAAATAAGTAATCCAGACTTGGTATAATCAATAAACAGTTTTATTGAAATTTTATTAGGCCAGCTTGCTGCTTGACTTACTTAATTACTTACCTATATTATTTTCCAATATAACCATGGACAGGATCCGCATCATTCAAACTTCTTCTACAAAACAAAAAAAATCCAAGCTAAATTGAGAAAAATTCGAACCTTCCTCTGGCTCTAAATTATCCTTGCTCTGTGCAGTGCTGACAAGCCCATCTCCAGTCTCGTCAAACAGCGTCGTGTCGTCCTCGGGCAGGTTCTTCACGTCCAGTTTACTGGAGTTTCTCAATACTCCTGAAGAGGGAGAGGCATTATTATCAATCAGTTTACAGAGAGTCTCGGAGTTCGTAGAGACTAGAGAGTCTTGAATGTTATGAAAGTTTGTGGGTCAAAATGGATTTCAGGCATTAGAAATAAGACAGAATTTCAAATCATAGACCGTATCAAAGCCCAATATTTTCGGTTCATTTTTCACAAAGCGCGACTATTGAGCACATTCCACTCAAAATGTTATCATAGTACAAACATACCGACAGCAAAGTGATGATCGAAAGCATCCTTAATAATTCCAACATACTCCTCTACTTGTTCAGCTGTCTGCTCATTCCAGGAATGTTTGTACCCGAGAATAAGAGTATTCGCTTTAATCACACCTGTGGTGGGTGGTGTAGTTGAATTGATGGCTGAGTTAGAGTGGCACTAAATTCATCTCATAACCTCACAATTTCAATCAAAAAGGCACATTTCAGCTCCAGTCTCCCCCATATGCTATGATACACAAATTTCCCCGAACCTATATAACTGCTCGTGCTACCTTGAACCGCCTTCAAAGAGCGGAAATCTTACCCAATCCGTTTGTCTGAAGAAGATTCTTGACTCCAATTCTGAAGGATGGAGCAGCAACTGGCACGTGGAAAGCTTTGATCTTGTTGGCGATGAGCAGGTGATTCTCAGACATGTACTGATCTACTTTGTACTTGTTGCGGATTATGTGTCCACAAATCATCACACCGTAACCTTTACTTATCTAGGGGAGGTCACTTTAGAATATTCTAGGCGAAAATTCAAAGAACAACTAACTTTTAGATTAACTGCTAGCCATGAAACAAACTGTAAAGCTGTGGAGTAAACCAAATTAAATCCCTTAAATTAGATAAGAAAAGCTGCAGGATAGTGAAGTTACTCACATCTGACATGAGGTTAACGAGTCTAGGTCTGGAGGAAGGAGCACCGGTCAGGACCAGGAACTGAGGTCTGAAGTTCTTGACGTGGTAACTCAGCCCCGATACCTCGTGTATCAGATCCAGAGCGTAGTTGTATTTCAGGGCCTGTTTACTACTTCCCCAGTTCACAGCTGAAAGGGAGTCACATGATCAACTAAATATCACGTGATCGGTGAACATGTGAACTGTAAATTATTGCTATAAAACTGATCATGAAGAAAGAATTGAGATAATCAGTTGACCGATTATGAGTCATTTTAACATCATTACTGATTACTTAATCTTATTACTGTAACCACAGAAATGTTTCCTCCACCAGTTCGTGACGTATGTTCGTGACGTATGTTCGTGACATATGTTCGTGACGTATGTTCGTGACGTATGTTCGTGACGTATGTTCGTGACGTATGTTCGTGACGTATGTTCGTGACGAATGTTCGTGACGTATGTTCGTGACGTATGTTCGTGACATATGTTCGTGACGTATGTTTATTGTTTGTGACGTATGTTTGTGACGTATGTTTATGACGTATGTATGTATGTTTGTGACGTATGTTCGTGACGTATGTTTGTGACGTATGTTTGTGACGTATGTTTGTGACCTATGTTTGTGGCGTATGTTTGTGACGTATGTTCGTGACGTATTTTCGTGACGTATGTTCGTGACGTATGTTCGTGACGTATGTTCGTGAAATATGTTCGTGACGTATGTCTGTAACGTATGTTTGTGACGTATGTTCGTGACGTATGTTTGTGAAGTGTGTTCGTGACGTATGTAACTTATCCACAGACTCACCCGGTTTCCGGTACTGTATGTATCTGTAGAGAGCGTAGATAATAACGACCGTGATAAGAGCAGTCCACCAACTAGTGATGAACATGACGGCGGCACAAAGCAGGGACCCGAACAATGACACCCACGTGTTGTAGTATTTGTAGGATGGTCTCCAACCTATCAATTAGTTAATTAGAGGGTATAGATCATAGTAACGATGATATTATGGTGGTTCAGACCCGCCATCGTTTAAAAAAAACCGATGTCAAATCGTTTTCTATTTTAATGTTGAAATTTAATTGGAATTTCATAGCTCAAAGTCAAACCCGCCATGCCGTTTTAAAATTGATTTGAAAAAAAAACCGATGTCAAATCGTTTTCTATTTTAATATTGAAATTTAATTGGAATTTTATAGCTCAAAGTCAAACCCGCCATGCCGTTTTAAAATTGATTTTATAAAAACCAATGTAAAATCAATTTCGATTTTGATATTGAATCGGAAGTTCATGGCTCAAACCCGCCATGCCGTTTTAAAATTGATTTGAAAAAAAAAACCCAATGTCAAATCAATTTCGATATTGAATTGGAATTTCATGGCTCAAACCCGCCATGTCGTTTTAAGAAAGTTGGTCTATTTCTCGTTACGGTTTCAGCATATGCTTTTGTTAGATTGGGTTAGGGTTAGGGTTGGGATCAGATTAGAGGGCTAGGATTTTAAGGGCCAGCTATAAGAGAACGTGTTTAAAAATTCACGTGACAGTCGAGTGTAGAGTGATTAATCATCATCCGTTGCATTACAAATATTATATTATACTGTTTCAGATAATTCATGAGATTTATTCATGTATTGTCCAAGGGTCGACTGAGGGCAGGATTTGCGACCGAGGAAATTTTGCTTTGATAAAACCGAGGCCGAGGACAACCGAGGTTTCATTTTATTGGCCGAGGCCGAGGAAAAATCGCTATTCGTCGGTAAAACCGAGGCCGAGGACTCGGTCGACCCTTGGTATTGCCTTATGTCAACGATTTGAAAGAACTGAAAATACTGAATAGTTGTATCTCTCAAAATTACACGGTCTCCTGAAAAACCAGCTGGCTTACTGGCTAGTTCAAGATTTCCTGAACTAATTTTTACCAATACAGAATTCTTATTGATGTCTTATAAATTCATTTAGATAAATATCAGAAAATGAGACGGTCTTCCTTCTAATATGCCCTTATTACCTACCTAAAGGCCATCTGAAGTCTGAGTGAACCTCTAATGTAATGTGTAGTAGATGTGATAAATGCTCAAACTGCTCATTATTAATTACCTGGTGAGTTTGAGAAGCTCGCCTCGAAGCAAGAGTAGTTAATCAGGGTATAAGAGATAAGGAAGAAGTTGGTAATGATAGGAGCAATGGCATTCAGCTCCGCGATACAGACGAAGGCAGCGGCAATTAACAGTGCCAGTGCATACGCTCTCCACGGCTCGTTGTTCGAGCCGTAACCTTTTGCAAACCAACCGATGTAGGGGAACAGCTTATCTTTGCAAACCGCCTGAAAAAAACAAGTATAAAACGAACTGCATTTAACGAGTAATTGGGGGGCAGTAATTAGTTATAAAGAAAACACATTAATGGAAAATATCGATTAAAATTACTCATTTTCGTACCTGGAAGACTTTAGGCGCGCTGACAAGTGATGCAAGGGCCGAAGAGAGAGTAGCAGCAAATATACCGATTGTAATGATATGTTTATATCCAGACATCATCGACATTGCCTGAAATCAAAGATTTGTGAACACTTTCCCAAAGTGGTGGGCCATACTACGGTCCATTATCTACACTGTAGTAGTGTCAATGAGTAGCGTTAAGAGTATTTGTTTACAAACCGAGAAGCTGTTTAGGAGACCATAAGGACAATCCCCCTCCAACATCAGTTCTCCGTCGAATATACACTGAGATGCGGCAGTTAGGTTCGAAGGAAACTCCGCCATTTGCGATATGTTACCGGTAGCTCCCAGAATAGTAGTAGCACCTGATGTGAAGATCAATTTAAGGGATTGGTTTAATATTAGTCATAGTTTTAGGTGTTGAATAAGTTATCATTAGTAATACGGGCAATCATTAGAGCAGCCAATGATGGACGTTCTTCTGGGCTAGTGTATGGAAAATGTTTGTAATGAAGTAAAACAAGTTACTGAAGGGGATGTAGGGCCATTCAATTGTCCAGATTAACTGTATCACCCCCTCAACTTATTGGATTATCTTCTACATTCGATTACAATATCATGGTCAAATTTGGTTAAATCTAGTCAATAACTTGAATAGCGCGCCCGCGATGCAATTAAGCTAATGCGCGCTCATTTGGCGCACAGAACACAGTAATTTAACAGAAGCGCGTCACGACAGAAGACGTTTCCCTGAATTTTGTAGTGGATTTTGTAGTGGATTTTGCGCGCCGAACGTACGTTACAATATTTATAATTGTAGAATCTACGACGCTAGTAGTCAGAAGTCTCAGATTTTGTGGCGTATATGAATGTCAGAGGGTGTTTTCTCAGATTTTGTGGCGGATATAAATCGTGGCGGATATGAGGCGAAAATATCGCCTCATGAATCTTGCCCTCATCATGTATTTTGTCTATTATTGAGCTATTATGCTATTATTCTACCTTATTCAAATTTATTCTGACATTAGTAATTCCCAGTAATTATTCTAAATGGGGGTAAGAATATGGGGGCCGCCACAAATTTTGAGAATCGTCTCTGATCGTTTGGGTCACGTACCTAGTACCTACCTAGACCTACCTATTGAACCTATTGACACAAATCGACTACAAGTGTGAAATCCACTACAAATCCACTACAGAAATCCAGGAAACGTGCTATAAAATTCTTTAAAATTATCACTCAAATAGGTGGCCCCGCCAAAATTAATCCTTGAAGTTTTTCATCGGCTTCATTTTGGAGGTATGGTCGAAACTATAAATTAAAAACCTCCTCCCAATGCACTCACCAGCTTGGAGAGCAAAGATACAGTATGTAATAGTGGATAGAATAACTGCAATAAGTGTTCCCTTAGGTATAGCTTCACTTGGATTCTTCAAATCTCCTGGGAAAATTCTCTATGTTCAAAGTGAAATCGTAAGATACACGAGAAATTTCGATTGACATCGTGAAATGGAAGATCTAATGTAACAGGGCCAGGGTCTGCATGTTACATAAACAAAAAACATACATGATACATATTTGACCTGTTACATATTATGTTATGTAGCTGAATTTAAGCATATTTGAATAAAACTGAAGGAAGTTGACCATGTTTAGTCCAAACCTGATATGTTAGCACCAGCCATAATACCGGTAGCTGCAGGGAAGAACACAGAAAACACAGTGAAAAAGTTTTCACCTTCTTGGTAATGTGGCATCATATTAAACTTCAGGATCTCAACTGAAGTATGTTTATCATGATCATAATTAGGTATAACTTCGGGACAGATTAACTTAATCGTTAAAACTTTAAAACACTGAACATTTTGATAAATAATAATTTCAGTTATCTTAATTCCAAATTTGAGAAATTGTACATACCATTGTATCCATAGAATCCCTCAGCAGTTTTAGCATCACTTCTTATAAATGTTCCCACAATAAAGTTGATCATAGCAGCCATGAGAAGGAAGAGAAGTACAATCTGAGCTTTGGATTCCCACGCCATACCAGCCATGGAAATACCGAACAGAAGTACGAGTGTAACCAAACCCCAGATACGCATGTCATGTTGGTATAAGGAGGGGTCGTCACCAAATATCGTGAAACCTGCCTCAACCTGAAATAGTAGGAATATGTAAATATGTAGGCTTAAAGAAGATCAGTAAAACAGGTCAAAATAGTGAGAAGAATACATGTTATAAATAAAATACATGGGGAGGGGGGGGGGGGGGCAAAAGTCCGTATTCATACGTTGGGTCTTATACCACCGCCGTGTTTTATATTTGCGAGTTGTTGCTTTGTAGAAGGAATACTGTTCGAGGATTCCGTCCCCAAAATTTGAAAATTCGAATATTTTTGACCACGCCCATTCAATATTAAAACAGGTCTTTGAACATGCTGAACGCCTAATTTTTTCAGAGACGGTAGATTATTCATTGTTGCATCTGATCTGAAAAATAAGGGAAAAAAATTAAAAATTACGTAGTGTGTGATGCAGGCCACTCCAACGACTAGGAGGAGACCTCTTCAATCTTCATGTAGCATGTATGTATTAATATTTTACCGGGGTAAGCACAGGGCTCCAATGCTCTAAAATACAGTGGTCATGATCTATCTTATAGTGATAATGACCACAGTTCCCTGCGAAGAAGGAGAACCTGAAAATCCGATCGTTGGGTTCAGTTGTCGTATTTCCTTGGGTTCAGTTGTCGTATTTCCAATTTCAGTGCAGTTGTGATATGACCTGGGTTCAGTTGTCGTTTTGGGATTTAAGCTGATTGGTCACCCAATTAAGCTGATTGGGTGGCTGTTAACTGCGTGGGAAATAGATTCAATTGGGTTCAGTTGTCTGCCACCCGACGTAGTTAAGGGTCGTTCAAATCTAATCTCATTTACCGTAATATGTGAACGACCCCTAACTACGTCATCTAATCTGTTTTATGTGTCAGACTCACGTGAAGGAGAAGGTGAAGTGTTATATACCCTACTAGTATTACACAAACATTCCATTGTACCTGCTGCTCCTTTCCTACTTGTTGCTATGCTACATTACCAAACAGTTTATTAGTACTGGTTAAGGTTTTCACTGACGAATGGCCGACTAGTGATACACGTGATCATTTAAAGTAAAAAGAAAGTACTTCAGCATTAGTGATTAGTATTACGTATATCAGAACTTTGCTTTTCGAATAAAAATGCACTTACTTACCTTTTACCTTTAACGCATATTTTATATTTCACGTTAAATTAATACATCAGTGGTAATGCAGTTCAGTGAGATCATTATCAACTGTCTAGAATGTTTATAACTTGAACCCTATTCCGTAACATTGCATAAATTTGATATTTTGATACCAATATTTGTTTATACATTCTGTAGGATACATCTTGATGTCGAATAATTTATTTAATATATTCTTACGCCGTTATTTGTTGCCATTTTGAGTTGTTTCTGTTGCACCAGCAACAATTACACTCCATTAACTACAATGTAACTGCTTTTTTATTAAGTAAGTAAGTAAGTGAGTTCCTGTAAAACTTTACTTTTATCAGATGTTGTTGGAGGTCATTTGTTTCGCAGTTGTTCTTGGACTCGCTATAAAACTTCTTCTCCTTAAGTATGACCACTGGTAAGTTTGTTTGAGCTTTAATTGAATTTAAGAAAGAAATGTATAAATTAAAGTGTCTCCTGGAAAATTATATCATATTAAATAAAGATACACTACAGCTGAAGTACTAACTGCTGTGAATTATTTCAGGAGATACTCTCATTTGCCTGGTCCCCCAAGACAGAGTTTTATTTACGGAAACTCTGTAGAAATACGCAGGCGGATGGCAGCTGATGGTGCCCTCGGCCCGTTTTGGCTGGATATGGTCCGTGAACATGGCATCATTCTACATGCTTGGATGGTGATGACACCCAGAGTCTTTGTGGCTGACCCTCTGGTAATTAAGGAAATGGTCACCGACTTCAAAAGATTCCCGAAAGCCGGGGAGAATCGGGGATTTTTAGCCAGGAAATTTTCTTTTGGTTTACAAAGAATGGGTACCACGAATTTCTGTGGATATAACAGTATTTTAACTGACCTTGGGGGACCAATATGGAAACGAAAGAAGAAGATAATGGATCCAGCATTCAGTATACAGCGCTTGACAAAGCATTTGCCTAAATTTTACGACATCGCAATCTCTCTGTGTGATGCTGTAGGAGCAGCTCAACAATCATCCCCGGAAACTCCAGTTGATGTAACGGGGATAATGAGTCCGTTCACTGTAGATGCTATCAGCAAGGCTGGTTTCAGTGCCACTGAGAACCAAGTTATAGAGTTACGTCAATCTAACGAGGATCTTAAAGGGGGATTCACAAAAATTGTGTCTAAAGGAGGAAACGTTTTTGCTTTGATGTGCGATGCTGAAGCAAGAAAATGTTTATCCACAAATTCTGATAATATCAGAAGGATAAGAAGACTTGCTAGACAGCTGATCATGGACAGAACCTCCAACGGACAGTTTGGTGTTGCTGAAGACATTCTTGACAGCATAATTAATGCTAATATAGATGAAGCAAGTGGAGGATTAGATATGGAAGATAGTCTGGATGACTTTATGGCGATGTATGCAGCTGGAAATGCCACCACAAGTACAACTTTGTTATGGTGTTTGGGAGAATTAGTCAGAAATCCGGCTGTTATGGACAAACTGGTTGATGAGATAGATGAAGTATGGATAGGAAGTAATGTGGACAGTACCACTAATCCCAGTGTTATAGGAGATACTCTCAAGCAGATGACATATCTGGAGGCATTTGTTAAAGAAGTGTTGAGATATCACCCTCCAGTACAGTTCATCCTGCGCAAGACTGGCCAACAAGTTAAACTTTGTGGCTACAATCTTCCTGCTGGAACCACCCTATTGAGCAGCCAATACGTACTGCATCACTTTGAGCAATATTGGTCTGATCCCGACAAGTTTGAACCAGAACGGTTCCTGACAACATCTCCAAAACCCTACACCTACATTCCCTTCTTTTTAGGACCCCGAAAATGTATCGGGAAGAACTTTGCTATTCTGGAGTTAAAGTGTATCTTGTGTGAACTCCTGAGTAGATTTGAAGTTGAGAAGGATCCGGATACTCCCTTGAAGCAGCGATCACGTCAGGGCTTTCTCTGCTACCCTATTGATAACTTTTACATTATTAAACCACGATTTTGAGATTGCCCCAAGTGTGTCCGGGAATTTCAATTTTGTGCCCCCACTCCCAAGTTTGCAATAACTGCGCCTAGCTAGATTACCAATTTCCCATTTTCTCCCTTAGTGCTTACTGCAGTAGTATAATTAGCCTGTAGCATAATTAGTTGATAGACCTATTTATCGCAATATTTTACTTTTCAATTGTCACAATATAATATGTTAATTGTAATGATAGACCCCAGAAAGTAGGTTTCTACAGTACCCCGATCTAAAATGTCCGCTCATTCAGCTTGCTCGAGTGTGAGTGTGGTATGTGGTCCGGTGTAAACATTGGAAGGATGTAAATCAGTAACTCTAACAAAGTTTCAACACCATTACAAAACAACTTCCTGATCTTCAGAACTTAACTTCATTACTATCAAATAATTGTGATATTGTATCCAATAAATCATAAGTTTTGAGCGGAGAAATAGTTTATCTGAGTTTCAAATTAGATTGGTAGTACCATGTAAATTTACAAATAACACGATAAAATAATCATTGCAATCCGGTTAGCCGGAGTTTTGGGGGGAACGGAACCGGATGTTAGGAAAGAGAAATGTAAGGTTGACGGAACTTGCCGGGAAATTTGAATTAATCCTTATTTTTGGGCTTTTATCAATAATCATAACATTAAAAGCCATGTGGAATTACACAATAAGACAGTTGCAGTGTTTACAGTTTTGTAGACATTTTGAAAATATTTAAAACTTCAAACGATTTGGGATCTGACTCGGGTATCGGGAATTAGAAAAGAGAACCCGATATCTAATTCTTGAAAACCGGGCCAGAACCGGATAATGGATATTGAAGCCGGATATCCGGCCGGACCGGATTCAGCCAGATATAAACAGTTAGGTTCCTAGTTTCATCCAGGGTTTATCATGAAACAGACTTTTCCTTATCTTTGGAAAGGTAGATGGTATAAAACCAATAAATACACATTACACATTCAGGGACGTAGCCAGGATTTTTCTTTGAGGGGGCTGTCGGCGAGCGAAGCGAGCCGACGCGTCCAATCAAGCTGCGCAGCGAGCAAGCTGTGGCAGGGGTCTGGGGGCGCAGCCCCCAGCTGGGTCCAGGGGCGGAGCCCCTTGGCGGGGGCTAGGGGGGCGCAGCCCCCCGGAAATTTTTTGCGAAACAGGGTGTTTTAGACGACATTTGGCATAAAAGAAATTTGTAGGACAGCAATAAACTGGGATTGAAAAGAATCAAGTACTCACGTAAATTTGGTAACTTCACAACAGCAATCTGCATTCTCCAATCAGAATTTACGACTTACTCAGGCCTCATCGTCTTAAGATTTTTACATTTCCTACGGTCTAGGGGACACTATTGACTATAATTATAGAAGTCTTCTAGAATGTTTGCTTGGATTTAATGACATATATTTACTAATCCACAGTTCAAATCTTTGACTGACTGCAGTCATAAACACAGCCCAGTTACCAGGCGACCATGGGGACTAGGGGGCTTATCTTTTTTCTGGGGTTCGATTTTTTCCGGGGGGGGGGGGCTGCCGCCCCCCTAGCCCCCCCCCCTGGCTACGTGCCTGTACACATTACACAGTACACACCCATGTTGCAAAGGCTAGATTTAGATTCAACCCTGATCCAAATTTAACACTTTTCAGTGAAATCGGAGATCGTAATTGTCAAACTGTAATTGTGGAATGTGGCTGATAATCGAAGAATTAGATCTTCAATCAGGAAACGGCATTTCTAACTACCAAAAACAAGATTATATACAACAGAAACTATGTACATACCAATCACAGTTGTATTTATTGATTATAAAGCTTTTAATTAAGTAATCTAAATCACTGTTGTACGAGAACTAAAAACTCATTTTGTAGTAATATTACAGTATTGAACATTATTGATTTGCAAGGCGACGATGATTTCTTAATAATGTTACAGTTTGACTCGGTTAGTACAAATCAGTGTACTAATTCAAGTTACAATTTAGATCAAATCATATTCTGTTCGTGTGTCCAGGTGTCCTGTCACTCAACAGTGAACTAGTTGTATTGCTGATTGTTCTCTAACTTAAGACGATCAGATTTATACTTCCTTTTACTGGGCGACATAATTAGGGAAAATAATGGGAAAACATAGACATGCCATCTGGAAAATTCTCCGAAGAAATTCAACACATAATTTGCACCCATTTTTCTTATAGTGCACAATTATCTTCAAATTTGCTGTATAACGTATTGTGCACTTTAAACTCAGTATACACTGTCAACAACTCGTACTACAGCCTGTCACTTGTATTATCACATAGAGAGTCAGAATGGTGTAAAAGTTAAAAGATACCTTTATCGTGTAATTCATCAATACCTACTCATGTTGCCTTTATAGTGTAATTCATCAATTATACCTATTCATGTTGCCTTTATAGTGTGATATCAGTGATAACCACTGCAGTGACTACAATCTAAATAGACTGTTGTAATCAAAATTCCAATAAAGTTTTAACTGTACGTGAGGTGAAAGGGCTGGAATGTACTAAATGTTCAGTTTCCCACTCAGATGGGTATCGTCACTCTTCATTGGTCAAGTGTGGTAAAGTGACTAAATAATAATAATCGAATATCTCACCCTCAGCACTTCGCAAAGAGTCTCTGCAAAGCCCACTATATACATAGCCACTGCTATCGCGTTGGCTATCGAGAATACGATCCCTATTGCACCGCCTGAAATAAGGGGAATAATGTTAAATCCAGATTTAAGCAGTAAATATAAGCTCTTATCTAATGTTTACACTTTACAGAGTTTCAACATGGTTGATCTACTGTTAAAAGCTTGAGCAGAAAGTCACACATCTATTATTATTTATTATGTACTATGTGTGTAATGATAATAACATATTGTATGCAATCATTGCTGCTTTGTCATTTCCTGTTGAACTTATCAATACAATTAAAAGACTTATTGTAAATATTCATTGTAGTAAAGGGGAACATGCAGTTTCTTTTTAGTGAAATAAATTTAATTTGAAGCGTGGAGAGGTTGGGAGATCAATTACAATAATTATAAACATAATAATGATCATGAGATTAGTCTGATCATGAGGTATATTATCAGTGCCCAACATTGTGCAATATTGGAGATTAGCAACAGCTGTGATTTAAATAGTTCGCAGTTCACTCACGACACATTTCTACTGGATACCGTTAGAGGACACTGTAAGTACTGTGTAGTGTAAGTACTGTGTAGTGTAAGTACTGTGTAGTGTAAGTACTGTGTAGTGTAAGTACTGTGTAGTGTAAGTACTGTGTAGTGTAAGTACTGTGTAGTGTAAGTACTGTGTAGTGTAAGTACTGTGTAGTGTAAGTACTGTGTAGTGTAAGTACTGTGTAGTGTAAGTACTGTGTAGTGTAAGTACTGTGAAGTGTAAGTACTGTGTAGTGTAAGAAGTGTAAGTACCGTGTAGTGTAAGTACAGCTGTGTAGTGTAAGTACTGTGTAGTGTAAGTACTGTGTAGTGTAAGTACTGTGTAGTGTAAGTACTGTGTAGTGTAAGTACTGTGTAGTGTAAGTACTGTGTAGTGTAAGTACTGTGTAGTGTACGTACTGTGTAGTGTAAGTACTGTGTAGTGTAAGTACTGTGTAGTGTAAGTACTGTGTAGTGTAAGTACTGTGTAGTGTAAGTACCGTGTAGTGTAAGTACCGTGTAGTGTAAGTACCGTGTAGTGTAAGTACTGTGTAGTGTAAGTACTGTGTAGTGTAAGTACTGTGTAGTGTAAGTACTGTGTAGTGTAAGTACTGTGTAGTGTAAGTACTTCGTAGTGTAAGTACTGTGTAGTGTAAGTACTGTGTAGTGTAAGTACTGTGTAGTGTAAGTACTGTGTAGTGTAAGTACTGTGTAGTGTAAGTACTGTATAGTGTAAGTACTGTGTAGTGTAAGTACTGTGTAGTGTAAGTACTGTGTAGTGTAAGTACTGTGTAGTGTAAGTACTTTGTAGTGTAAGTACTGTGTAGTGTAAGTACTGTATAGTGTAAGTACTGTGTAGTGTAGTGTTTATCCAAGTAATTCCATAGAACAGGCGGGACATGTTGAATCAAGTTTAGAGTGTATAATTATTTGTACTACCATTAGTAGGTACAACCGTAGAATACACTAAACAATGTGATAACAAGGTATTATCACAGTTTCTGTAAAGTGTACACAGTGCAGTGTAAAGTGTGCACAGTGCAGTGTAAAGTTTGCACAGTGTAGAGGTTGTTGTTTATCGGGATCTTGAGGACTAGTCAGGTACTTATTTAGACGTCTGATTCAAAGCATCAAGTTCATTCGTATCTTACAAATCAGATCAGACAGACTTATTTTACAATCGTAGCCACGGACGGCTATGGAGGTGAAAGTAGTGTCATTACATGTGATTCGTGTTTCTCAATTGTGATTGGTTGATGTTAAGGTAGTGTTAGGACGGTGAAAGGTGATATGAAGGTAGTTACTTAAGGTTTCTGAGAATGAATTCGTGAGGGAGGCCATGTTACTAAATGGTGTGAAGTCAAGGTGCTGAGAATTGTGGAAAATACTTTGTGAAATTAGTTTGAGTTTAGCTGGAGCCGTCCGGGAATAAAACATGAAATATTAGTATTCTAATAATCAGTAAAGTTATATACTGTACAACAGTGCAGTGTAAAGTGTGCACAGTGCAGTGTATAGTGTGCAGTGTAAAGTGTGCAATGTAAAGTGTATAGTGTGCACAGTGCACGGTATAGTCTGCAATGTATAGTGTGCAATGTATATTTGAAGGTGCGCATCTTCCGACATTGCTTCAAATCTCTGCAGAGTTTACTTGTTTTACAAATTTCATTAATTGTGGCCAAATATGGAAAGTTCTGGAATCTTCTAAGATCATGATGCAATTAGAAGAACCAATGCCCATTGTTGCTGGAATCTGGTGTCTGTTAGTGTAGTCCTTGGAGGCAGGGGTGTAAAGGAAGCAAATTCTGGGGATCAATAAAAAGCTCCATAGAATTAAATTACCTTCATAAGAATTTAGCATTACAAGAAGAGCAAGAATGAGTTCACTGCAAGGTTCAATTTACTTCATTCTAATTAAAGCAATTTATTGCAGCACAAATTACATCCTTCATGCGTCCTACACGTTTAACTCGTGCATCTTAGGGTGGTTCAAAAACGAAAACATCCCCGAATTTGCTCAGGGGGACCGGGATTCTACGGCGATCCATTTGCTAAAAACCACCCAACATATTTTTTAAGTGGTTCTTTAACAGGTAAAATGTCTCCATGACCTTGCCTTCACCATTGCAGCTACACCTTTAAAAGTTTAACAAGTCCACCTAAACCTTAAACATATTATGCGCTCTGCGTTGTGCACGTACGCTCTGCGTTGTGCACGTGCGCTCCACCTAGGACATATTACACGTGCCCAAGTGGGCAAGTGCGAGGAGTAACATTGGTTGCGATTTGATTAACCACAATAATCTACTCGTGAAGGAGTAATATCTGAAATTAAAGAAGTGATACATGAAATGAAAAGTATAACCTTCTCAACGATTAAATGAGAGTGGTTCTGCGGTTTTTTGCATGATCTCTACTCATCAGCATTATAATGGGAAGTGTAGCTTGTGACCTGAATGGTGGTACATCCCATTATACCACGATCTGGTAGGTCTATAGAAGGTACCTGTTCTACTAATGATGTGATGTAAATGAGACAATATTGAAGTCAGTGTATTGTATGCGCTGGTATTATATTGGCTTTACGTCATTATATACGCTTTGTGTAAACTTCATTAGGTTACACTGAGCCTCAGTGACTGAGGTCCGTTCATTAGGCTATGCTCTGGTAAAACCATTAGACCAGCAACATACCGTGCATATTTTACCATATTTAGTATTGTACAGGACAGCATCTAACGATTCTGAGGATTTTGTTAATGTCGTAACGTCACTTCTTATTCGTGTGTGACATGTGTAATTTGTAACGTCACTTCTTATTTGTGTGTGACAACTGACATGTGTAATTTGTAAAGGAAACGATTAAAACCCAGCCCGATGAGCAGTGAAGTTTCTAAGCGGTCTGTACAGTACGACAAGCTCGTCGGCAACTGTTTCTTAGTCAGCATGTATAGATATGTATCAGCCACGCCAGCTTGCCATTAATTTAACCAAGTTATTGTGTCTATAATATAAAACTATTTTAAACACAATGTCACAAGCATTTTAAAAAGTACAATGACGATTGATAAAGTCTGATCTGGTGGTCACGTGACAACATGAGATCAGACATGTAATAAAGATAATTTCAACATAATATGCCAATATCTAATTACTAATACATGTTATGTAGCTGCGACCACCAGTAACAGATTCAATATTTCAATAGTTCAACATCAAGTAACTGTTATCAAGTAACGGTTCAGTGAGTGAGCTCCCGGCTCTCTGGGATTACGCTTACAGCAGATAAACTTACCAAACTCTGGGATTACGCTTACAGCAGATAAACTTACCAAACTCTGGGATATTACGCTTACAGCAGATAAACTTACCAAACTCTGGGATTACGCTTACAGCAGATAAACTTACCAAACTCTGGGATATTACGCTTACAGCAGATAAACTTACCAAACTCTGGGATTACGCTTACAGCAGATAAACTTACCAAACTCTGGGATTACGCTTACAGCAGATAAACTTACCAAACTCTGGGATTACGCTTACAGCAGATAAACTTACCAAACTCTGGGATTACGCTTACAGCAGATAAACTTACCAAACTCTGGGATATTACGCTTACAGCACATAAACTTACCAAACTCTGGGATTACGCTTACAGCAGATAAACTTACCAAACTCTGGGATTACGCTTACAGCAGATTTAAAACTTACCAAACTCTGGACCAAGTGATCTTGATATGAGATAATAAGCCCCACCTGAAACAGAGATAATATCATTAAAGTAGAACTGACACAGTATAGCACTTGAGAAACACGTAGAATAACAATAACTTGATATCTGTCTCCCCTCCACCGCTGCCATATCTACAGATAGCTATAGGGGAGACAGATTACAAACACTAATCTTCATTTAATTTCCCTAATATCCGGGAATCAGCCGGAGCACTATAAGACCCTCCACCCTCCAGGTTACAATCCTTGCTCCAGGCCCCTCTCTTAAATAGTGAACCTGTCACGCTTACTTGTACAGACAGCACTAATAGGATTTACGTACATGTAAGTACTTCACAAGAGAGACTTGCTCTTAATTATGTCATGTATTGGCAGTAAGATCAGGCAATATTGTTTTATACGTTAACATCCAGCTTGATGTTACCGGTAAATAAATCAGCCGGCTCTTTATGGCCATGTCAAATCAGTCCTTAATGAATGGTTATTTACATTCCGTTAATGAACAACTTTCTCTATAAATTAATCTAAACGTGGCCACATCGCTCGACGGACAATATTGGTGACTGATTTGCTCCTAATGTCCTCAATTCTCCCAATTAGTAAAATATGAATTAAAGGCCGTGGGGTGCTTACCTCCCTTAACCTCTCCGTTAGTACAGATAGCAGCTAGACTGATGCTGGTAACACTTGTAACCACCGCTGAGAGCAGAACCACACCCAGCCCACACGCTGAAATTCAGGGCTGTTACATTTAATTAATTAATTTTCACATACCATGCTGTTTTAATGATACTACAATGTTTTTAATTTCTACACTTAATTAGATAAATTTGATAATTAAGTTTGAATACGGGTTAAATCAGATAATAACAGTTCACATTATCAACATGCCGTTATATTTACAAACTAAGTACACGCAGCTCAGCACTTACCAACGCCCGCGTTCCCGACCACCCAGGAGATCCTAATAAACAGCATAACACCCCAAATATTCAGCAGACATCTCACCAGGACACCTTGTATCCAACCCAGCTTGAGGGCTGAAGGGCCATCTCCCAACTCTGTCTTAATCTTGGGGGTCTCAGCTGCTGGCATTCTTTTACCGGCTCGCATCTCCGCCATTGTGGGCCGGTGGGTTCCATCCTGGGGAAACGTGACCCGTTACATCTCCACAATTTTGTAATTAGTAATTAGTAAAATTAATTAGTATGTTTAAGCAAAACGTGATGAAATCTCCAGGGTATTGTAATGGAAGTTGTCAGGAAGTTGTGGGGTTGTGGTATAGACTATATTGCTTTGTTTTACATTGTATGATTTCTTTACAAAGTATTACATAATTCTATTTCAGTATCACAGTCCATCATTTTTAACCAAACTTGCCAATTTTGGCATAATATCGAGTAGTTCTCACTAAAACATGGTAAATATCGCACATTTTTGAGACAACACTGGTTATTAGGTATTTTAGCCTAGAGACAACACAGGTTATTAGGTATTTTTAAATCAGCGAAAATCGGTGTTAATTGATCAAAATAACAGGTGTTTTACAAAAACTTTCACAATCACAGCGGCGTAAGTCTAGATCAAGATGCTAACTTTAACAACTTTTCTTCCGAATCCATTGTACCAAAACACAATAAATGTAACACCATGAGGCTCATAACTACTATAAAATCCTCTCCAAATCCCAAACTTATCAATCTAAAGTTTCTCTACTAATAGTTTAAACACTGCACACTTTCTTCACGATGAAATATTTCGCCGCTGTATTTGCTGCCGTCCTGGCTCTGAGTATCGCCTCCCCCCTCGAGGTCGAGGAGAGACAGGGTGATATGATCAGTATGATAATGGAAATGGTCAAAGGTTTTATCTGCAGCATGGATGTCGTGGAAGTCGAGGTGGGTTTACCCGATATTTGGGTTTAGTCAGGATTTATTGGTTTGGTAGACTGGGTTAGTTTATGTGGATAGATTCAAGATATAGTAATCTGTCGAAATATCATTATGAGATTATAGACAACCTATAATTTATTAATATAAGTTAAAAATGATCTGTTAACATAAATATTGTCAGGTTGAGGAGAGACAGATGGACATCATCAAGATGATTATCGGTATGGTTAAAGGATTCCTCTGCGATTAGGACAACTAACATGCTAAAATTACTTAATCAACTCAATGCTCATGTTCCTTGTTTGTTTGAAAAGTTATCCTATTTATTTGTAGTGACATAAGATAGCAATGTGTTATTAATGAGTTCAGTATATCCCAAAAACATTTCCAATGCCTTCATCAATGTTCATAACATGTTAGATATTTATAACAGCTGTTCACATCAAATTGTGTACCATATACTGTGAATTCAGCGCACGTTTTGAAGGTGTGTAGACACGTGTTATATAGTGTACAACAGGTGTGACATTGGAGCTGAGCTTAAATAAATATTTAGTGAGACAGTACAAAAACACAAGAAAGTACACGTGATACTCATTGAAGGTGGAGTTTTTTGTGTGTTGAAGTCTATATTAAATTACATTCAACTCCCTTTCACTATACATAAAATAAATAAAACCACTATTGAAGTTAGCATAACACTTTGCTGTAACTTGAGGGAGTAAAAATTCAGATTACAGCCCTCTAGAAAAACTCATTAATCAACTAGGTTAAAGGCCGAACCTTTTCATTTCAATTCCACCAAAAAAAGCTTCGCATGGATAAATGATCATTCCAGTGCTACCGTATAAAAAATGAACATTTTGATAAAATGAACTGAACAAAGGAATTGTCCTGTGTCTCAATTCCCTCTTCATTCTGAATTTCCGGTAAGAAAGCAGGATGAGTAGGATGACGTTACTTAAAGAATTTCACCATTGTTTGTACGTTCTAATTTAGGAAGAACAATTTCAAGCAAGTTAAATTTGAAATAAAGTGGCCTTGCTAAGGTTCACTACATTAGTTTCCGGTCCTATTCTAAACAAAATTAGTTCTGAAAACGAAACCTCCAAAATCTCCTTTTCCAAGGAAATTCTTCTCTTGGCTCCATTCCACGTCCAAAAACCTTAAATCAAATTAGTGTGGAAAAGAATGAGTTATTATCTTTGATTGAGTAATCATCAGGTAGATACAGGCAGATACAAGTATAGTCTGATTATACTACAATGAATGACGTCACAAAGCTAAGAGTCTAGTCACGGAGTTAAACTTTGATGTACAAACGAGTATAAACTATTCGCTTAACCTGAGCTCAGGTCTTTGTGTAATTCGTAATTTTAAAAGTATTTTAATAGTACATAATATTTGCAAATTGATATTATGAACTTAAATAATGTGGATAAAAATTACCAATGATTATTGATTGACCACTAATCGCCCAATACTAACGACAATAAATTCCGGACTAATTAATGTTAATTAATACTAATTGGTAAGGTAATTAATACTAATTGGTAAGGTAATTAGTTTAGATGAGCACCTGTTGAGTATTGCGGTAGAAAGCTGTCTTGGGAACGAAGTCTAGAGTGTCAAAATTCTTGTACTGAAATGTCGACCTGGCAGGGATAAGCAAAATAAGATAAAATAAGATAAAATAAGATAAAATAAGATAGCAATTTATTAATATTAGAAAAAATTAAGACAGTAAGATTAACAAGCATTTCATTCAAAATTTACTAAATCACGAGTGAAAACTGTTCATAGTAATTAGTAAAGGACAAATCAACGCGGATGTATGATAAAAGACAAGAAAATGTTTTAAACGTAAGTACATCGTATCATATATATATATATATATTATATATACCTGTGAGTTGCTGAGTCGTGGGTATGACTGTGAGAGTTGACTGTGTCAGACCTTTCGTGAGTGTCTCCTTCACTCCCCTTCCTCCCCTGGTCTCCTTGATCCACAAAGTTCACCTTAAACCTGAAATATGACAAGTTTTAATTTATTGTCAGAAAATTCCACAAATCTTTATCAAAAACTGTCTCTTTCAAAAGCGTTATTTGGAAAAACTTTAAGTTATAGCTATTATTTTACCTTTTACATTAAATATATAATATCGGTGAATTTAACTTAAGTTTGCCTAATATTGAAAATGAAGAATCGCCAGCGGTTGTTGGTTGATTTTTGTACTGCTAATCATATAAAGTTTAAAGGCATGATCAATAACCCCTCACAAACATTGTAATACTGTACGACTAAACTTTTAAGATAAAGCTGCAATGAAAACTCCTTATACTTTTTTGCGTTTTATACATTTACAACAGTTAGATTGGCTAAGGATCTAATATTTTATTATAATTTAGGTCAATATGGCTTCCTTATCATCAAAATGAGCCATTTTAAAACTTGCGAAATTTCTGATTGCCAACTTAATTAGTAATCATGACAGTCATATTAATATTCTATAACAAAGTGTAAATGAGATGGAGGATTAAGTTTAGAAATAAGCAACTTTAGGTATTTTTTAAAAACCGACGTTTTGTCAAGAGTTTACGTGAACCCAAAATACAGCGGTTATCAGTGAAAGCAGGTGTTACCCTTCTCCCATGGGAATGTGCACGTGCTTATTTGTAACTTATTTGTAACGCATATAAAATACGATATGTCGGGGAATATTCTGTTAGACTGGATGGTTTGAAGTTTACATTTGTCTCCGAAGATAATATCTTATATTATAATAATATGTTGACAGATATATATGTATCCTGAATAATATGTACTATTATGTCTGTCTAAGTCTGCAATCTGTATCTTTCAACACAAAGGATACAGGTTCAGATAAGAGCTAATATAACGGTACGGGAAACACTCACCTAAAATTAAAATAACTTTAATTCTCGCTAGTTTTACCTTGAAACAGCTCCATTGTTTTGATGTACAGTCGATACAGGTACTGTTAGGTGGTCCGGCATTCCTTCAACAAGGAATGATTATGTTCCTTCAACAAGACAAAACACAAGGCAATAAACGGTTTGCAAAAACATGCATTGAGATCGTGAGAGGCAAGGTTGAGGAAGCAAAACGTTGCACGTATAATTATATTTTCATATCGAATAATTATATTTTCATGTCGGAGACTACAGATTTTAAGGTTTTTCATCCCAGAAATAGAAGATTGCATAACATTACTAATGTACTTTAAAAACAACTCTCATTAGATAATTCATTTAATATCTATTGTTACGAAACCCTTCATTCATGAGCAAAGCGGTTACTGAAAACTTTAATTCCTTGAAACAGCGCCCGAAATTGTTAACTGAAATACATTTACTACTGCTGTATCGAAACAACATTAACTTTACTAGTACAAATGTGAACGGCTAAGCTAAGCACAAGTAATAGGTATAAAAACCACTGAGACAAAACCAGAGACTCTGATTGGTAGATTAAGAGTCAAGGGGGCAGCAAAATGATGATCTCATCGACAAAAGATACCGTGATTAGGTCATGTCACGTATAACGGGACTACTGTAATTTCCAACCATTGGACTGCCCAGAACCGTTTGTAGATCTTTACGTGAAGAGCTATTAAATTATATTTTCAGTGATGACCTGCAAACTTAAGCACAATAAAATTGAGAGCCTGAGCTTTAGATATCTTATTAGATTAGGCGCCAAACTAGCTGAACAAATGTAAATAACAGCTGATATAATGAGAACTGCAACTCTGAAATTTGCGACTTGTGTTTTATCAATTTCCAGAGAAAATGGGAAATACAATGAAACGACCAAATGCAACTCTGAAATTAGATGAAATGTAGTCAAGTTGATTTAGGAAAATAATCTGTCCTATTTGATGAACAGCTAAATAAAGACTCCCGACTCAATCTGGTCCTAGACAAAAAGAGACTCATATCAGAGGCACAAAACTCGGGTCGTGCCTGACCAAAAACGGAACTAAATATTTATTGAATTGTTGTTTCTTCTTATGTCGCAATGTTTAATTTTAGCGATCACGTTCGCTACGTCACTTTAGTTGTATAAACAAACCAGGACAAGGTTAAACAGAACATGGTCAGATCAGCTATATTACCAATTAAATTGTCAGTCTTCTTTCCTCAGAATTAAGTTAAAGAGTCGAAGGCGTCTTTGTGAGCACAGAGCAAGTCAAAGTGAAAATCAATAATATGCCCTAACCAATTGATCGGATAATTTCTAGACTTATAAAACCAAAACTTGTCAATACAGTCCAAATCAGAGAAAATAGCATCGATTTTATCTCATGCAACTGTTGATTGTTTAGAATGTTCTATTATTTTTACGTTGCTTTAAAGTTCTACTCTATCAGATAGGGACGGTAGTAATAACAATTCATAAAATTACAACAGCAGCTTTTTGTTACAACAAGGTCAAAGACAACGGTGAACTGAACGGCACATAACAACCATATGTTAGTACAAAGAGTGGACACGCAAAACAAGAACTAAAACTCACAATTATAGTACAGGCAAGGAACAAGGCTTATTAAGTTGCACCGTCAGCCAAATATACAAGGTGTTGAAATGGGTTAGAAAATTGTAAACATTAAACAACCACCACCTGATGACACTTGTCACTCAGGTACACAAGCACATAACATGAAGTAACATAGCGACAGGTTTGTAATAATACGGTATAGTCTGTATAATGCAATGATGTCAACTAGACTCTTAAAGAGAAGACTACGAGTTCGCAAACAACAGAAACCTATTTTTGTAATCTAACAGTGGTTTATACTGGACGGATTCGGCAACAACAGAAACCTATTTTCTTAATCTAACAGTGGTTTATACTGGACGGATTCGGCAACAACGGAAACCTATCTTACTATATATAAAGCGAGACGATATATATATGTGTATATATCCGTGCCATTTTACTGACACCACGGCATCAACTTTAACGCGACTTTCCGCAAAAACCGTAAAACATATACAACTGAAACTTTTTTGACTGGGTCAAATGCTTTAATGGCCTTCAAATCAGCATGAAAAAATAAAAAATTGGCCAAGGAATAATAATTTTAGTGCCCAAAATTTGGACTCTCAAGTGGTGTCAAAAACGCGAATTAAATAGGTAATAATTATTTTAGTCTCTCGAGTCTTGACACCACTTTAGGGTTAGACGGGTTCCTGCTAGTTTCCTTAATCTAACAGTGGTTTAAACTGGACGGATTCGGCACGAGTTGACTCAAGGGATAATTAATAACAACTTTACTCAAATTCCACAATCCCTATCAGAACAGAAAGCACGTACTTTACGTCACGCACGGTTCGACGATCACGGTACTCAACTTTGTCATAACAACAACATATGTTGACTGTGCTAGTGTCTACTGTTACCTAATTCCCAGAATCTAATTAAAATGACGTTGTCCACTAAAACCTATTCCCACGACAAGTACCATAATATATTAAATATTAATATTTAACGTGCTACAAGTCATAATAAGTGTTGGGACGAGAAAGTTGAAACGTTTGTGGCAGTGCCTTAATATATGTATAATTATCGAAACCCACCAATATTGTTCTGAATTCAGACAAAACTGTTCTAAATGCTTCCAGGTACGTGTTTTAAAGGTACGTGTTTTATGAACTGTTTATACTACTACATCACTGTTTACAGTACATGTTGTTGCGCACAAGTACAGCTACATGTACAAAGAGAAGACGATATTAAAATCACACGAGTTCAATAATGGACACATGACAAGAAAGCTTCCAGTTCTCTCTCCCTCTCTCTCTCTCCCTCTGTCTCTCTCTCTCTCTCTCTCTCTCTCTCTCTCTCTCTCTCTCTCTCTCTCTCTCTCTCTCTCTCTCTCTCTCTCTCTCTCTCTCTCTCTCTCTCTCTCTCTCTCTCTCTCTCTTCCAGTTATTAAAGCAACATATTGAAATATAAGATGCAATTTAAACTGAACTCTGGCACGTACCACGTGCTGTAGTTGCTAAATTTGGTCTTTTTAATGGGAAGAATAGGGGTTTCATTACCTGATTGGAAATATGACACTTCACTCAAGTGCATTTATACAGGGCACCATAACGGAACTATTGTGGCAAACACAAATTACCTAGTTGTGGTCAATTTAATACTGTTAAATTTATGAGTTTAGATAAACCAAGCATAGACCTATTGACGTTGGCCAGTTCTAATTTTGATTTAATTTTGATTTAACACAAATCAGAAAATATTTATCAATTCCTGATGAGGAAAGAAGTTTTCTGTATTAACCAATAAACTGCATGTCTATGGATGAATGATTAATATTACTCGACAGTCGACAAACTTAATCTAATATTTCGGATTTGATTTCGGATATTATAACCGGATACACAGTGCGAAAACTCACATTTCCGCTAATACATTCAATCGTTATTATATTTTAAATTAAATCGTAACAACCTAAAAAGCAACACAGATGAAGTTTTGTATGTTTTGACTCACCTGTTCCCTTTGCTACTGATTAGAGGAGATGTAGGCTCCTGCCCATTTTCACCTCCTGGATCACTCATCGCTACTTTAAGAATAGGGCTGTTATACATAAAAATCAGGTGCTTCGTTTAACAAATTTTAAAAACATAAGTGATTTGATTAATGTTAGGTCCCAGCTTTTTAATAAAAAAATTTAACAAATTATTGAGCATACGTCATATGACATTCAATTGGCAAAACAACGAAGTAGAGGTATAAGATAATAGATAAGAATAAATAAAGGTATATCATTATATGAGGCTGAGGCTTTGTTAGTACACAATAAGAACACCGAAAATATTTTTTTAATAAATTATTAATCTGAATCGGAATATGACACCAATCCTAAATAGTTGTTTCCTTCCGTTTCAACACACATTTTGCTTATACTGCATTGGGTTGTAAACTTTGATGATAAAATACCGCTAAGAGGATCAGACATTGGAACATCACCAAAACTTTCATACTTTGTTTCTATTTCATCAATTATCAAACTGATTTCTGTATTAACTTCATGAATACTGAGATTTAATCTGATAAGAAAATCCATGATATCTTCGAGTGTCTTTCTTGGTCTTGATTCATCAGGGATGACAGTAGACAAAAAATCGACAAACTGCCAAAAATCATAAGAAATAACAGGAAGGACAAACAATAGATAATTCTGACAGAGCTCATCACCATCAAGGAGCCAATCCAAGACCAATTTATGATCACACTGTATATGAACTGCAAAGTGATGGAACCAGTACTGAATGTCAAAGAGCTCAACTAACTGCTCAAACCCTGCATAATTCCGCATCACATCAGAAGAAGCTAGCATTTTAGATATCTTAGCAGCAATATGTAGATTCGATAGAAACATTAAGTCATCTTCTGTTAAGATTGATTTAATGTACCCCCTCAGCAGATCTACATTGACAAACTCCATTCCACTATTACCACCAACGATTTTAAAGGCTACACCAGTTTGTCCACTGCACAATGCAGAATAGAAGATGTTCAAAACTAATTCAAGTGCTTGTGATTGAAGTTGGGGTGTCAATTCTAGTGACATAACATCTATAAGAAGTCTTTACTGCTACAGAATAGTATATTCTTGTACCCTTTCTCATCAAGAGATGATATGATGGCAAGATTATCTGAAGAATCAAGAAGTCCATGGACAGTTATGCCTTTGAATATTTTAAGAAAGTATTTGTCCAGCAATGTCCATGGATTAATACTGAACCAGTTCATGACTTCTTTCATGATATCTTTGTCATATTCCACGTCATCCTTAATAACAGTACACAAAATCTTCAAATATTCTCTTTGAACTATTATTGAGTCAGCACTTGATACGTTCTTAACAGAATTAAGTAATCCTCTAATCATTGTTGACATCCATTTTGATTTGATTTGCTCACATTTTGACTTTTTCATAATGAGCCTCAAAAGTTTGTAATGAAAGTGGGAGAGAACTTTTAACTCTTCAATTAGATGATGTGTACTTTTAAA